CTGACCCTTGCCTGTTCTTTTAGGAGCTAGCAAACCTCAACGTTTAGCTGCATGTTTCTGACCATGGTCAGAGAGGACACACCCTTCCTGAGCGGAGGCCGGAGGAGTTGGCATCACGTCCCAAACATCCAGCCACAATAAAACATCTACAGTTCTTTCCAACAACTCCTGCAGAATTGCATTTCCACATTTCTTAAATTGCTTTCCACCAAAATAGTTGTCACCTAAAGTATGTCACTTTCTTCTGACATCTTTGGCTGCATTTGGAGTACAGCGATACTTAACCTTTCTACTCCAATTAAATCTTGAAGACAGTGCTGCTGCTGTTGCCCTCTGTGTAATTTTTGGACAGTCTCCAATCTGCTGACACGCCACAGCAAAAATGACCACATTTTAATGACTTTTAAGGAGACTCATTTGATAAATGACACCAAAGAATCTTGAAAAGAGCCAAATAACATTCATCACTCTCTTATTTTTATACCAGTCTTCTCAAGGAAGAAACAAGTGATATTCTCTCATATCTTTATTTATCCAGCGCTCAGCATGGAGAAGAGACAACATATTCTGTTTTTCATTGTCCAATTAGGGAAACGGATGAGTTCAGAATGTTCAGCTCAAAACTATTTCTCAAACAAACACTGTTTCAAATTCTCAGATATATTTAATTGTTTTCACACTTATCTCTTCCCTCCAAATCGCATGTGTGTTTCCCATCACAGGTCAAGCTGCATAAAATCAATTAAATTAGAACAGATATTGGAATGAAAGACAATAACAACATTCTGAGTTTAGACTTATAAAATCACTCTATTTTTCATTACAGCCTCGTTCTAAAATGTTTGGATCACTTTCAAACTTCTTGTTTAGCTAACTTAAAAGCAGAACAAGAGACAAGAGGCCAAAAAAAACTGAGGTCATAACAGGGCGCACAATTAATTTTTTAGCTTGGCTCTCCCTGTTTTTACAGTCCGGATAAGTCGGCGTCAACGACTTTCTTGGGATCAACGTTGTTTTTACAAAACATAACTCTTAAAGAGTTGAATTGCATAGGAGACAGGAAAGAAATAAATATTGTTGACTTCCTACAGTTTTCCTGATACAGTAGAAGTGTCATGATCTCAGTCATAATTTCTCATTACCTTACAGCTGCAGTGTGTAACTTTTATAAACTATATTTTTTTTAGATATGTTGTGAAACTGACAGTATGTCATGACAGAATGGTATGAGTCAGATAAACTGTGAAAAAAATCAACCTCCTTTGCCTTCTCCCAGTGCTAACTAAAAACAACCAATCAGAGCCAGGAGGAAGTTCTTAGGACTGCCAATCAAGCCTGTGTTTGTGCCACTCGTTCTCTGTGATGATAAAATCTCCCTGTCCACAGAGTCTGCCACGAGTGCAAAGTCTAGTTTTCCTGTAATGGTAAGTTGTTTCTTCACCATTAGCGTATACATGAGGGTGATTTACAGCTCTAAAATGCTCCTGCTTGTTCTGACTGGTTGTTTCTGACCATTTCTTTACACAACAGTAGCAGCACAGGGAGGAAGTGGAGGAGCTTAATTTGTTCAAAGATTATCTGTCTCATACAGTTACAACATGGTGATAGATTTAACAAATATATAAAGCAAATACTAGTTATTTTTCATAAAAGTTTTATACTACAGCTTTAATGCCACGGCATTTCAGCTTAATTCTGTCTACAACACTTTGCCCTCATCACAGACAGCTTTTTCTTAGCTGAAATCATTATTTAATTAAAGCACAAGAGGGGAAAAAAGGATTTATCTTTACTCTGTTTCCCAACTTTTACACAAAACAAGACCTTTTGATCAAGATCAAGAAAAGCACCATTAAGCTATTTTTCTCTTCTGCCAGAAAGCAGCAGAGTGGCAAGAAGAAAAGCAGGTCCAAATCTAATTTTAAACTTGCAACAGACTGCTTGTGGGTTGTTGCTTAGTCTAAGTTGCATGCTTGTGGGGAAGTTTTTTTTTTTTGTTTTTTTATACACTGTCCTTTATTGTAAACTTGTTCATTCACTTTTGTGAGTAAAACAGAAAAAGTCATGGTATGCCCATTTGTTCCTTTATAAAGATTCCAACTGAAGTTTTGTGGTTTGGAGCACGCTTAAATAGGAAACACTTTCAACAGTGACACTAAATTACACTTAAATTGAGAACTGATGAGATAAAGCAAAATGTTGTGGAAATTTTACAATATTTAGAATTTCTAGAATGAAACATTGCATTATGAGAAGAATTGCATCTGCCGATATTGTTTTTGTTATTATTTTTTCAAGTCTTTGACACCGACCTGAAAATTAGCCATCTGGCTATGATCTCATGTATTTACATACTAAACTGAATTAATTTGCGTTGGAAAATATTTTAGAATAAACGAAGGGCATTAAACTAAATAGGACATGAGTGAGTTGAAAGTAAAACTATTCACAACTCACCTGTCAGCTGTTGATCCCAAACTCTGGCCGGTTCTGTTTGGGAGAGACAGAAAAACAGCATCACCCAACCGAACCACATGTTACACGCTGCAAAAACACAAAAAATCTGCTTCCACTCCTTTCTTTTCTCTACAAAAACAAATTTCAGCCTGCTTCCACCCGCTGCTGTCTCATCCGTCCCTCTGAATCTCACTCGCTTCTGACTCTACTAACTACACCCCTTTCTCTCCTCCTCAGTGATGTTTTTGGGATGTAGCAGTGAAGACTGTAATAAATCCTGTCAACAAAAATAATGTTAACGTCCTGAAAGGTGTTTCTTCCCCTTTTTTTTCCAGAATCATTTTTGCTGCCTTGTACTACTGCGACTTTCAGAATAAAAAATTATAAACGTGACAAGCAGCTGTGTGATTCCTCACTCTTTCCAAACCAGCTGTGTATCCAGTAATAAATCTGACATCTATTGAGCATGCACGTTATAAAACCAGCCAACCATGGTTTATAATCAGTGCTAAAAATGACATTGCATATTCCCTGTTATGTCGAAAACATCGCTCATGTTTTTTAAACACCAACTGAAAGGTCTCCTTGTTTCACTTTATTGTCTCATAAATGTGTAAAATGTTTTCTGTTCTCCTGTGCAAGAACAGAAAACCACAGCGGCTTACGCAGACAACTAACAAGGAGTCTTTTGCATTTATTTTGAAAGAATTTTGACCAGAACTTCCTTGCAGATCTTTGTCACATTGGAGAGGTTTTGAGCACATATGGCCTATTTAATGAGGCCATTCATGCACAGCATCTCAATCAGATTTAAGAAGGTTCACGGATTAGTATAAGCAATTCTGATATTTTGCAATTGATCTTTCTGTCGGGTCATAAAAAAAGAACCAAACTAAAAGCATTTTTGGATAGACTCCACAACACACACGCTATTCATGCTTTGCTGCAAAGATGCACCATGAGGAGCACAACATTACACAAACCGATATGGCGCCAGTGATGATTATATAGAAGTTAAACGTGAATTTTCATAACAAAACCAAATAACTCCATCAAAAAAAAAAAGTAACGTCAAAATTGAACTAGATAGATATTGTTTATTTGTGACACGTTAAAGAAGCAGTTACAGTTTAAGCCAAGATGTCAGTGATGGTTGTAGTCTCAATTGAAGAGCTGGTCTGCATCACTCAAAGTCTCAAAAAAATCTACAATGAAGAGATTATAGGGACTTGTCAGCTTCAGGCTCTTTTATTGTAATGCCAACCATTCCCTGACTCACTGATGTGATTTTATCAGGCAACTTTCACCAAAAATGCAGTGAGGGTTTCCCCAATTTAAACCCAATGCGAAATAAGTAGGCGTCAATTGATTTCTTACAGTTTTGACACTGCTGAAACGCAGGTGCTTAGGTTTTACTATGCTTTTTAAAGCCACTTGTTACTGTTACTTTGACTGAATTTTCTGGGTATGGGTTTTCCTTTTGGACTTGTTAACGCTAAAACCTGCTGATAAGTGGAAGACAATAGCTGGGTGAATGGACAAAATTATATTTGCGTCTTAAAGATTCAACAGTCAGTCTAAATAATACAGTTCACGCTGAAATTGTATTATTTTCAAACAATGGCTTCGGTGTATTCCATTAAATCTGTTTTTTAAAAACACATTCAAGAATCCTACACTCCGTTCTACATGAGCTACTCTATTTTGAGAATATAATATTTTGATTAAAATTGAGTAGATGTAGTCTTGGTTTCTAAAGGTGGAATAGCAATTTTTTTAGCTAGCGCTTACAGCTAGCCAGTTTGCTAGCCGGCTAGGTACTAGCTTAACTGTTTGTGTAGCTCTCAGTTCAAAATTCCATATCAATATAAAAGAAAAATACGTATCTATTTACCAAGTGAACTTTGTTGTTCACACTACATGTATTAACAACAAAATAAAGTTTCAATTCTATCCGTAACCATAACTGTTAAAAGCCATCTAGCCACCGTACTGAACGGACGGGGGTATAGCTCAGTGGTAGAGCATTTGACTGCAGATCAAGAGGTCTCCGGTTCAAATCCGGATGCCCCCTTCGGTAGCTTTTTCTTGTTGTATTTTCACAAATCACAGTGTCTTTTTAATTGATTGTATAATCAAGCTGTAATCAGAATAGCACTGCTTTCAAAAAGAGCTATAACTGTCATTTATCTGTAAATGAATAATAGTATTTATTATTATTTCATTTTTTGTTGCAGAAATTTCAGAAAAATGTTCAGTTGGATTCCATATATATATATATATATATATATATATATATATATTATATATATATATATATATATATATATATGTATATATGTATATATTATATATATATATATATATATATATATATATATATATATATATATATATATATATATATGGGATTTATGAACATTATATATGGGATTGAACTGAACATTATATATATATATATATATATACTAATGAATCTAGTATATAGTGTATAGTTAACTGTGGATGCCCAACAGTAGTCCCCAAAACTCACACACAGCAAGTTGCAATATTGTTATTTATTTAAAAAACAATTGACAAAACACAGTATTTACATTTTAAATATAACATATTTTCTTTAGCAGCCAGCTCCTTTTCCCGACCAGGAAATAGTTTTTTTCTATAATATACAGAATAAACTAGAGAGCTTTGATACATATAAAAACACCTTCAGATGTGAGATAAAATACAAAATTTACCTTTATAACTCAGATTTCAGCATTTTTTTTTATCAATGTTGCAGAGTTACTGAGAAAGAAGAGGCCACAGGAATTTCTCATCATGTAAACATACATTAATTTCATTAGAGGCTAACTGTTATAACAGGCATCTGCTAAAATGTGCATGAAAAGTTGCTTCTAAAATTGGAAAATCAAGTGCTTTATCTAGAAAAGATTTTAAATTCTAAGAATGGAAAGAACTTAAAGAATTAAATAAATAACAGTCAAAGGTCAAAATGAGTTCATGATTATCTACATTATAAACAGACAAAATCTGACAAATCTTATTTATCGGTTTGCTGTTAAAGTATAGATTTAAAACTTATTGGCACCAAGTTGTAAACTCGACAAAATAAATTCAGGGCAATTAGTTTGCAGCTTAACAGTTAAGGCAATAAGTGGTGCTGCTAATAATGAAGGAGTTTTTAAACAGTGAGCCACATGTGCCATCATCTTGACTGGATGTAATGGTAAGATAATGTTGGGTGTGGTCACAGTTTCAGCTATTTTAGGCTTTTTATTTAGGGAAGAAACTATTTTCTTGTAGCTCCCCTAGTGTATTGATTATAATGACTGACAAACATCAGCCTTAATTGAAATGATATCTTCACTTGTTCTTCTAACTTTGCAGAGGATATGAACCTCTGTAGAGCTTCATTTGCATTTCCTTTACAGGAAATATTGGGGGTGTCAAGTGTCATTTTGTCTTAGGGTGAGGCAAATTTTACTCACTGAATAAATTTCATCAAATTGGATTTTTTTATGCAACTGCATTAATTAAAAACGTATTTCAAAGGCTTTCATGTATTTTTGCTAGGGGAGTGCTGTTGTCTCACAACAACACCTGAGAAATTTCATTAATGCATAAAGGGATTACATTATTATGTATCTTTCTAAGAAGATACAGTCATAGTTTTTGTCAAAAAAAAAAAAATCAAATATATCCCAATTGCAATATAAAGATACAATGACACAGATATTCAATAACAACAATCAAAAACCAGCCCTGAAACCTTTAAGGCGTTTGTTCAATGTGATTCTGAAGGAATCCAAGCAGCTCTTTGCAGATTCCCATATGAAAACAAAGCATGAGTGGTGAGTCGGCTCTGCCTGAGATGCAATTACACCAGCCCAATAGATCATCCTGACTCTGATCATACATACTGACTAGCACCGGACGTTGGCTCAGTTTTTCTTTTCAGACAAGTTTGATCCACCCGAGGGAGCATCAGTTTGCCACAACGTGCGATTTCATCCAGTCTAGACTGGCAGGAAGACTGCAGGAGGAGAAAGGAAAGAGCCTTTCAATAAGAGGTGGAAAACTAATCTGGTATTACTGGCTTAAACTGAGGTATGTACTCACCCTTCTCCAGTCAGGGCACAGCAGGCTTGTACATGCCAAGAGTGCGTTGTGATGGAGTCGAGCGTGAGGCACTGGGAGATCTCTGTTGCTGACATCGAGCCCTTTATGTCTTGTTTATTAGCCAGAACGAGAATGGCAGCATTTTGTAGCTCCTACATGGAAAAAAACAAGAGAAGAACCAATGAGGAATGTTATAAAATTTTAACTCAAAAATAACAGTAGCTGCATTTCAATTAATCATGAAACTGCTGAAATTGAAATTACAAAAATAAATTTGATTTTTGTGCTAGTATAGGATGGTTTTTCAGCCACATTGAAATAGATGTATTTCACAAAACTGCATTGGAAGCACTTTTTTCACATCACACAAGTCACATGATCAACAGCAGGATGTTACTACTGGTGAAAACAACAAAGAATATGACAGGAAGTAGTAGGAGGACAATGGTTTGTTTTGGTTTTTCTTGTATGTCTGTTGCTCTCACAGCATCGCACAGTTCATAAAAAGTTGTGTGTCAATCAAACGTGTCAAATCCAAAGCTCTTCAGTAAAATTGCAGAGTACAATTTCTCCAAAACATGGCTCAAGTAGACACTCCCAAATATATGGGGATTTCCACTCAAACACCTGAGTAAGACGCAAACATCTCCTCCGATGGCTGATAGATGATGAGTGCTCGCACCATGGCTGAATAAAGAATATCACGTGTAACTGTTTATAATATCACATGACCAAGCTTATTCACATGCGACTTCAATTCCATTTGTTATTTAATGGGAACACCACAATTGTGAAATTCTGTGGGGGTTTTTTTACATCTGCAAAATATTGACGAAGATTTGGACACAATTGTGGAAACGCAGATGCCAGCATTGAGCTGTCTCAGTGGAACATTTTAAGACGCTGACTCAGATAGCCGAAAAGGAAACTTCCTCGTCACGTTCGGTTTGTCAGAACTGGTTCTGCTTTCACAACACAATCACGCACTCACTGAAGGCGGGGCTGTGTTTCAAATGTGTGGCATAAACTCGAAGAGTAAACAATAGCTTTACGTCAAGGAGTCAAATACAAAGACAATTTTAGATTTATATGAAAGAAGTTATTTTCAAACACCTGTTATTAAGGCATTGCAGTGGAGCTATGTAAAGAAATAGGCGTCAGTTATTTCATAGATTTAAAGTAAAGCAATACCTCATGTGCAAGCATACGGTGAAGCTCTTCTTTGGTCACAGTCAGCCTTTCACGATCAGTGCTGTCCACGACCAGAATGACAATCTGTAAAGGCAACCATTTATGATGTGTTACATCACAGATATAGGAGCAATAACTTGTAAAGTATAGGCCATCAGTCAGCTTTTGGTTTTGCCCTGGATGACACTCAAAAGGTTAATTTTCAACCTGTGAAACGCAGCAAAGCTGTACCTCTGTGTTGCAGTAGTACGAGTACCAGCTGGCCCTCAGACTCTCCTGCCCTCCGATGTCCCAAACCATAAAGTGAGTGTTGCGGACAATGATCTCCTCAACGTTGCTGCCAATGGTGGGTGACGTGTGAACGGCCTCCTTTGTCAAGCTGAAATTGTAGACATTTCAAATTAGGCCCCAAAACAACTTTAAGAGCAGACTGGATCTGCATAAGGTACTGAGATAACTTACAACTGGTAGAGGATTGTTGTTTTACCAGCATTATCCAAACCCACTATGATGACTTTGTGCTCTGCAAGAGAAAAACAAATGCAGTCAAATAAGCTTCTGCAGTCTCAGACTGAATGCGCTGCACAACATTTGCCATTTCAACATTTGACAGATCAAGATACGATAAGATAAGGTAGAGAGATGCGTCATGTGTACTAGACTGGATGGTATCACAGTACAGCAGTACTTTCAAATGTTTGGACTCACAAAATCACACATGAAAAACATATACCACGCCCAAAAACGTTTAATCACAACAAAATAACAATGGAAAATGGTATCTGTTATATTATAATAGATAGATTATATGAACACAAAAATGGAAAAATGTTTTTTTACCTTTATCTCCGAACACCGCCATCATCTTGGACAACAGGAACCCCATAATAGTATGTTTAGGAAATGTATGAAGCGCTGAATACAAAACAAATCCTGAAGAAGAGAAACTTGAGTTTCAATCAACACCTGACTGACTCACGAAGCTTTGCCTCGGCATCTTATACCGGTTTCTGCTTCGCTTTTTGCCATAGTGGGAGGCGCCTCTGAAAACCCCCGCGGTGTTTCACTGAAGTGATGCGTTTAATGGCAGTGGGAAATAGTGGTACAGAAACAGGTGAACGACACAGCTCAGCCTGAAGCTTACAATATGATCAAATGCTATTTAAATACACATTTTTGATGATATGATTGGGTAAGTAACGCCGAATGAAACTTTAATTTAGTGTTGAAAAAATGTGCTTTTTTAAATAAAATAAATTGTGCTTACAGTTTGAGAATGTCAAAATGTTATGACAGGACTGTAAGCTTTTGATTTCATTTAATGTACACAAAGATGTAAGAAGGAGAATTGTAGATTTAAATTAACTTTAGCTTAATTTAAATCGAGATAATCAGTTCAGAAACTGTATGATAGTGCTTGTCATTTAAATGTCTCCTCGCCTCGTGAAAGACACTGGGGTAGGGTTTTCAGAAAACACAACCAGAGCATTTATAACCTCAACCTGTTATAAAAGGTTGCTGACCAACAAAGACATACTTCCCAAAAAACAGTCATTTTTAAGCTTACATGCAGTTCCTTGAAATTTTGGTGGACAGATGGGACGAAGATTGAAGTTTTTGACTTCAACAGCAATCACTAAGTCGCTTTTTTAAAATAATTTTCTTCAAAAATGTAGCTTCGAACAGATCTTAACGTTTGAATTACTAGCTTTTTATTGTGAAATACCAAGGTGGATAGTTTGTATTTATAACAGGATTGTTTCTTTCTTGAATTTTATAAGGTAATATAACATTTTTTAACAAAAAAAAAAGAAAAACAGAAACGTGCAAAAAACACCCCCCAAAACTCGCACTGTAAATATCTGACCAAGCAGTCAAATATTTAACTACTTTGTTATGTAGCTAAGTATCAGAGCTTGGCCGAGGGTCCCTGAAGGCACCTTCACGTCTCTGTCGAGCCGACGAAATGAGCGACGAACCGACGTAACCCATCAACGTAAAGACAATTCCATCCCATATATGGAAAGGGGAAGTCATACTGTTTATTCCTATGGTGTTCTTGAGGAACTGACAAACAGAAAGCAAAAACATATCAAAGAGAATTCCCCTGAAACTTTTTGAACAGTCTTGGCATTTCCTGGAGTTTACCTGCAGTTCCTCTAAGAGTTCTCCATAAAAAGTTATCCAACAGATTACCACGTTTTATTGTTTTCAACATTTACAACAAGCTAAATCAACTAAATATAAGTGTAGTTTACCGTCTTTTCCTAAAACTCCAAGGTAAAATTTCACTCCAGTCCAAATATCTGTTGTTATATTTTTTGGGATTATTGGTGTTTTCCAACAACCCAAACAAATTTACAATTTTGTATTTATTGGATGACATGTGACCTTTTAGATTTTTACTAACTTTTTTTATGTCACCGGTACAACTTCAGTGATTTTATTGGGATTTTATTAGAGGCTTGTCTTAAAATTTTAAAGTTAAAAGAACATGTGTCTTTCTTTTTTTCTTATTATTTGTTGTGGTGTGCATTTTATTGTATCGCCTCCCTTATTACCACAACTCTAACATTTAAGTAGTGACAGAAACGTGTTACCTTTACCGTTACTTTAAAATTTCTTTGTAAGATTATTTTATCATCAAGGACCGCACAAAGTCATAATTGGCCCCCAGACTTTGGACATTCTTGCTTCAAGTATAACTTCACGCAACCAACAACAATAATAACTCTAGAAATAATAATTACTATCTTTTGTTAGAAAATTGAGTTTTATTTATATTTGTCCAGGTGAAAGGGAAACATTTAGTAAATATGCAAATAATAAATTAGCTTCTTTATCTTACACATTTGCAATTTATTTCAAATAATCTTACAAATAAATATTTCTTGCTTTTTGAAAAAAAAAAGGTAATTTAAAATCTAAAAGTAGGAGCTGGAACAAAAAGTGCCAATTTTTTATTATTTTTTTTTTATATTACTGTATTTACATTTCATAGTAATTCGGACCACAAACATCCTCTGATTTTTAATCAAGATAAATTAAGTGCTCCCAATAAGTAAACTGGGCTAAATAAAGCAAAACTATTTCTCAAAGCATGAACAATCAATATCCCAATCTTCCTGCTAAGAATATGCACAAAAGCAATCCAGGCAACAACAATAGAAAACAATTGGACAGAAATCATATGTCTATATTTTATGAGACAATTGTTTTTTTGTTTATAGTTTTCCAGGTGAAAAGGAATTGTTTTGCAAAAAAGTTACATTTAGCACAGGTGGAGGAAAGTTGGATCTAAAAGTTGCAGGACACTGAATCTTGAAAGCTGGATTTGAAGACCTAAAATGTTCCTACAATCTGAGTAAAACACAAAGGAGTTTGTTGTTGGAATGTGATAATGAAAAAAAACAACAACAAGGAAATACTTTCAACAAAAATATATAAAGAAAGAAATGAACACCACAAAGATCCTGATGTGTCCTGTTTGCATTTCTGCTGCTTCGACTCACTGATGTAAGGGTAATGTTTGAACGTAAGCCACAACTTTGCAATTTCCGCTCATGCAATGTCATCTGGCTGCAGACGAAAAAAACACTCTAGACAAATAAAAATACCACATCCTCTTGCATATTCTCACTCTGAATGTGCTTCTTATCTAAGTCTAGCCTGGTGTGATGCCTAGTTTAGTTTTTTTGGTTCAAAACAAAAGTGGAAATGATGATATCTGTACCCAGCAAAGCTCCATGACAAGTATGAGATGTAAGATCAGTTTGTTTTCCTTTCCAGCTTTAGACTTTATCCAATGCAGAGACAATACTACAAAATATGTAAAGAAACACTGACTTTACGTTTATTTCTCATTTTATTCACTATTACATTTATTTAGCTTAAATACTGTCCCATACTTTCTGATTTGGCAATGAGTTCTGTGTGTAAAATGTTTCTCAAGTGATATGACTTTTTTAAATCTGATGTTGTCATATTATCACCAAATAAAATTTTCTATCAAAATCTCTTCTTTTGATAAGAAAATATGTATTATTTCTATTTGTATTTTTTATTTAATCTCCACAGTTTAGGTTTTTGCAGCTAAATGGGATTAGTCAGTTAGAAAGATGAACGTAACAAATAAGGCTTTCCTAAATATTTCCACTTTGGGTCAATAAAGGTTACTTTTTCTATCTTATATCAGTAATTTTAAAATGTATTTATAAATGATTGAAAAGCAGATTATATTTATTAAATCTCATTTTCCATGTAACTTTCTGACGCCCTGTTAGCGCCCCCTTGCGGCCCTCAATTTGAAAAACTGGACTTAGAAACAGTGACGTTTTTAAATTAAATTTTTAATTAAAATACGAATTTATCCACAAATTAAAAATGAAAGGCAGAAAAAGCAAAAATGTAGCTACAATCAGGCACCAATGATACATGTCATCTTATCATTTTAACAATTGCGATAACGCAACAATAACATTATTTACTGATCATTAATATTTATCTATTCAACCGAAGACAGAGGTGGGCTAAAGCAGCCCACCGAAGACATTCATGGATTCTCAATTATAGATAACTCAGTAAAGACCAAAGTTGATCCTATCCCCGCCCTCCTCATGTCACAATGCTCCTCCTACTACCTCACAGAAGCTGAAGATTAAAAACAAAACAACAAAAAATGTTCACTAGGAGAAAAAAAACTAACAAACACAAATTCAGACAGAAATCAGGAGTAAGAAGGGAGTGGACTTTAATGTCAGACAAAGGTCGCAATTTAAGTGGAAGCTGGGAGTGATTAACCTCACACACAAAAAAACTTATTATGTGAGCAATAGCCCTGAAATGCAGTCGATGAGGCTGTTGTGAAAAAAACAAGATAATTGGGCTACACTGCAGATTAGCCAGGAGACACATACAGACAAAGACATGGTATGAAAACGAGTGTAACAAGAGTTAAGACATCCCACCCTCTGGTGGACATGGCTTGGCAAGACATTCCGGCACTTGTGATTGTAGGTTTCTTGAACTAAAGGTGTTTTGGGGTGGGAGCGACTAAGGCAGGACACTTCATTCTCACAACTATAAGTGTTGTTGCGCCACAGGTGAATACTGAAAGCTGAACCAGCTCAGGGAAGAAGAAGAAGAAGAAGTAAACATCTTTGTTGTGATCTAGCTGTCATGAGTGTAGCGACGATTTAAATTTGATTAAAATATGGCAACTCCTCCATCAGCTTTTTAAGGTCTGAGTGATAAGAGAGAGGTGGTGAAAGACTCACAACTTCTGGATTCCCAGTACAGGAGAAAGTCCCGGAAGAGAAAAGCTGTGAGTCTGAAAAATGTAGAGAAACCCTGACAATATACAGATGGGAACATTAGCTGCGTTTCCATTAAACACAAAATTGTGCAAAATGAAATTACAACAAAAAAAAAACACAGCAATTTAAAAAAAACAAACGTTTTCCGATGAAAGGTTTTGGGGCTATCGAAGCACGTCTTTCGTGTCACACGAGTCACGTGATCTGCAGCCAGATGTTACTACTGGAGAAAACGCCGAAGAAGACTACAGGAAGTGGTAGGAGGAAGATGGTTTTGTTTTCTTTTTCGATAATGTGCATCGGCACACTTCATAAAAAAATTGTGTGTCATTCAAATGTGTTAAATCTCTTCTGCAGATGTAGTCGAGGCTTGTTGCTCTAAATAAGACTCCCACTTCTCCTCTGTCATGGTTTTTTATGATATATCACTTAAATTAGCTTATTCACATATGATTTTAAATTTATTTTTATTTAATAGAAATGCTGCAATTGCGAAATTGTGGTTGTTTTTTTTTTTTGACATTAGCAGAATATAGACAAAGATTTGCACACATTTGTAATGGAAACGTGGCTAGTGACATTAGACCCTGTTTAAGACTGCAGAGGACAGACATGACAGACCACAGTCCTACCAGCCTTCACACTCTACAACTGAAGGAGAGATTGGGTCAGACAGATC